TCATTGACCTAAATATATGTCCTTTCAGTTCAAGTTTCCATATACTGTACACTATAAGTTTACAGTATACCGTATTTACTCAAGTAACGTGTGCCCTTGAGTAAGACGCGCACAGGGGTTTTTCAGTTGGAAATTCTGCTAAAATCTTATCCCTGCTCAAGTAAAATGCACACCCAAATTTTTAGTGAATCTGAAACCACAAAATTTCAAAAATAAAAACAAAAAATTGACTTCAGAAATGAATTGAACAAAGTATGATCAATTTTCAACTGTTTCAGTACAAAAAAGTTTTCTTGTTACATTTGCTCCAGATTTCTCCATTATAATTAAATGTATACGTAACTTCCTAAAAATTCTTGGAAAATTTGTACCTGCTTATGCTGCACACCCCTGTTTTTCTTCTGAAATTTGAGAAAAATGGTCCAAGTGGTACTCAAGTAAATATGGTATACAGTATACACAGTACAGCAGCTAGCCTATTTGCAGGATGGATGAGCATCATTCACAGCACAACACTTGCATCAGCAGCAGTATACCACCTATTTTCGGAAACACTGCTTATTATCAGTTGAAGTACCCCAACTGCTGATGCTGATGCTGGTGCTGGTGACAGTCATCGCCGAGAGTGCCCTTTCTTCTCAATTCAATTTCACCGCGTGCTGTGCTTCGTTTGTCCCTTTGCTCATCAACATTCGTTTATTTTTATGCACTCTGAGGATCGAGGAGGTCGAGGAAGAAGAAGAAAGAGAGAAGGCAGAAAGACGAGACAAGGATGGGGAGGAAGGAAAGGAGTGCGATGTATACGAGTGTGACATAAATGACGACGACGACGACGACGGAGGAGGACACGGAATAATGAAAATGAGCTGGACTGAATAAATGCACAAAGAATGCCAAATAAGGAAGGAAGGAAGCAAGGAAAGAAAAGCGAGGTGATGAGCATATATGAAAGAAAAGGCTCTCATGTGCCGATCGTTTGTCGCAGTGTGCTGCTTCAGGCTCACGACGACGGTATGGTAGCACACCACAAACACTCGCAACCTCAGCCGCAGGGGCCCCTGTCAGTCAGTCAGTCAGCCACCGGCCGCGGACGCGCCCAGCAGCGGCGGCGGCGGCGGCGGTGATCACAAACATATTCACAAGCACGCGCATTTATATATATATATATTTTTTTTGCAGTGTATATATACGTACGCACTATCGAGATGTTTTCCTTCTCTGCTATACGGTATATAGTGCAGTGCAATGCGACTGAGTAAACCTGAGCAGCACGAGTTTTACAATTTATATACAGTGTTTTTTTTTTTCCCTTTAGGGGGGAATATGGGCGTCAGCTGGTGTCATTCATCTTTTATTTTGTTTTTTTGAGGTACATACTGTATATACATATGTCTTCCAGAATAATAATAAGTCAAGTCCTTTCGTTTCTCTCTCTCTCCTTTTTGCTTTTCTCATGATTGAGGCGACTCTTGTTCAGTGCAATATAATTAAATTAAACTCGGATGCTGACCTATATATATACAGCATATCATAAAATGCAACATATACTGTATGTGTATAATAATTTCCCTTATTCTGCCTACATAGTAGAATCTTTTCTTCTTATTTTGAGTGTTTTATTGTCATCAGTGAGAATTTATTTTATTTATTTTTGCTTCTGCGGATATATTAGTGAGCTTTTCGGATATATCATGAAACGCTGTCCTCATCATCGTCTGGAAAGATTTTTCATCTGCGCCATTTAGACATAGACTCATAGCATGACATATAACTTTTTCTGCAAGACTAGCGAGAAAGAAGGACAATATTAATATTGGGAAAGTAGTTAATATTCACCGCACAAAGCTCAGCTGATAACTAAGAAGACGACATGATTTCAAAGGTATTTCTTTTCTGGAAACTATAGCACTCATCATCGGTCTTTTTTTTTTTAAATCAAGGTAAGGTCAGAAAAATACGAGGATGACTTAATCGAGAGAGAACCAGAAACGACATGCATTCCTTTGTGTCGGGAAATTTGTTTTCAATCCGTCAGGTCTTACGTAGTTTTGATGTATATTATCGAAAATCCTTGTTTTGTTACGCTTTCATTATTTAGGCATCATCAGATATACTGTATCACAGTTACTATATATATATCACAAGACGAGGGAAAACATATAAAATTTATTTTTTCAAAGACTGTATTCCTGTCGAGTGAGGGCTATACATATATATACATACTATGTATATATAGTCCTGTCTCGGTTAATGGACTTGACACGTTCACGTGGGAAGCCTGTACCGCAGTATGTATTTATAAAAGCAACACATTTTTCAGGAAGTAATGCCCATAATAACTTGAATAGCAAGCTGTAAAGAAGGAGTGCGCATGTTTTCTATATGAATGTGGGTACTTTGCCTTACCTTTTTCAGGAGATACATATCGTATTATATTCGCAGATTCTTAATTTTTTTCTTTTTAAATCCCGTGTCTTTGTTCATTCAAGCGCCTTATTATTGACTGAATAAGCAAGTATATATATATATATAAATATATATATATATGAATAATATAATATATATATATATATATATATGAAGCGCCAATAAAAGCTCTTCATTCAAAAAAGGTCGAGAGGGTTGATAATTGCATAGTATATATCACTTGCGTGATGCATCATCACAATGATGACGATATAAAGATATGTTTTTCATCTTTTTATTTTTACAATCTGGAGACAATATAACCCTTTGATCCAAGTCCATCAGTCCAGTTTCGTATATATATATATATGTACTCGTATATATGTGCAGCATGTGCCCAGCCATTCCTCTTCCCCTTTTTACATATTATACGTAATTAAGCACAGCAGCAGTTTAAATTATATATATATACTTGATGACGGTGGCCAACTCTAGTGCAAATAGTGAGACGTATGGTCTGGTATGCGCAGGACAGCAGGGTCTCTCAGCAGTCAGCATTACCGACGAAGAAGATGAGGTCGACACTCTTTTTTTTTTCCCCCTCGATTTTTGCGGTTTAAAGGAAGGAAGGAAGGAAGGAATTTAGTGAGTGAGTAAGGAAGGAAGTAAGCCAGTAAATACAGAGCGACTTTCAAATCAAGTCCGCCTCGGCTGACACACACACACACACACACACAACCCGAGAAAAAGGAAGGAAGGAAGGAAGGAATTTAGTGAGTGAGTAAGGAAGGAAGTAAGCCAGTAAATACAGAGTGACTTTCAAATCAAGTCCGCCCCGGCTGACACACACACACACACACACACAACCCGAGAAAAGAGGATGAGTTGGGGCGGTGTGTGAAAGTGGGTCAACCGAATGCGGATTCCCCCGCCGCCGCACCGGACCAACTTTCTAGCCATTTCTTAGAAAGTCTCGCCATCACCATCACCGGTATTCTATTTCGCTTTTGCTCTACAGTGCAGTATCTATACAAATACATGTCGGCGATAGACTGATGTCAATGCCGGATATTATTCAAGAAATGATAATAATTGAAATAACGATATCTGCTGCTCATTCATTGTGTCGAAACCCACTCTTATCACTGCCTCAACTCTTCTCCACTATAGCTGTTGCACATAGAAAATCATCAGCGTGTGTCACTTAATTTTCGATAATAATTGAGAAAATGAAAGCGAAAAATGCTGAAGTCCAATTCCCGGCATTATCTTCCATTATCACCATTCTGATGTTATAGATGGTTCTGCTTGTGTGGTGTACAGTATATATATATATAAGCAGTCTCGTCATAATAATATGTGCACCATTTTTATCTCGTGAGCCGTGACTAAAATATTGTTTCTCTCTCTCTCTCTATATATATATATATTGTTGAGCAGGGAAGCACAGTCTCTCCGAAGCTTTCCGCAAAAAAAAACAAAATCGGTACTTGTTCCGACACAACCACAAAGAGCAACACCGTCAGAGACGGCACGTACCCATACGTCAGTTGTCGGTGGTCCCCCGTCGTCACCTCAAAGTACATGTATATATACAGTGAAACACGTACGACAGCACAGTGCAGAAATATGTATTTATTTGACGTGCAATATATATATATACTCGCTTTTTCGACAGATTCGTCGAAATGAATATACCGAATGAAATATAATCCTCGCATTTAATGTGGATGAAGGCTTGAATATATATTTGATAAATTACATGCATGTTTATGTCAAGATTCTGAATCACTATATTTGCCCCAGCACTCATCGTCAGAATAACGTATTTGCTTCGTGTGAATAAATGTGCAATCAAGAGAAAGAATCTTCCTTCCGATCATGTACCATACATATCCACAGGCAATACATTATATATACGCGTGTGCCATAAATTGATTTTCAATTTCCATGGATAAATTAATGAGCTTGGCCAATTTGGACAAGCAGCAGCACGCGCTCGACCAATATAACTCTTTATATATATATATATTTTTTTTTAAATGAGCATGTAGAAAACTACATTTATACAATTATATATTATTTTCGTAATAATCTTTGAATTATTTTCACCGTCTTCTTCTTCTTCTTCTTCTTCTTCTACCCAAATGCAACAATTTTCCATCACATTATTTGATCATCCTGCAGATGACTGAGTTTTCAAATTGGTGTTTTTCTCGTTAATGGCTGTTGATGGTCAGCAGCAGCACATGACTTTACATATATACCTGTATATGTTCAAATTATTATACCGCGGTATAATCACGCACAAACTTTGCTCATGTTTTTTTTCTGCAAAAGAAAAAAAGGAAGAAAGTAGTAGTAGAGCGAAGTATTGTTGAAACAAAAAAATGGTTGACCCACAGCTTTGGAGATGGCTGCTGCTGCTTCAAGCGCCGCCGCCTAAAGGTCAACAGCAGTCAACGGGTCACTGGCCCAGTTTTCGCTCTACCGTATGATGAATAAATAAATATATGTATAGACAGCCCACACGTACCGTGAATACTGTATATAATAGAGAGAGGCTTCGAAAGGCGTTTTTTTTTGTTTTAGCCATGAACAAGGCTGTGTTGGTGTTTCTCGTTGTGGCAGTCTCTGCCGTGCATGGGTATGCAGTCAACAGCCACCAGGGGGCAGCAGTGGAGTGAGTACATGTATATATACAGTGAAACACGTACGACAGCACAGTGCAGAAATATGTATTTATTTGACGTGCAATATATATATATATATATTCGCTTTTTCGACAGATTCGTCAAAATGAATATACCGAATGAAATATAATCCTCGCATTTAATGTGGATGAGGGCTTGAATATATATTTGATAAATTATACATGCATGTTTAAGTCAAGATTCTGAATCACTATATTTGCCCCAGCACTCATCGTCAGAATAACGTATTTGCTTCGTGTGAATAAATGTGCAATCAAGAGAAAGAATCTTCCTTCCGATCATGTACCATATATCCACAGGCAATAAATTATATATATGCGTGTGCCATGAATTGATTTTCAATTTCCATGGATAAATTAATGAGCTTGGCCAATTTGGACAAGCAGCAGCACGCGCTCGACCAATATAACTCTTTATATATATATATATATATATATATATATATTTTAAAATGAGCATGTAGAAAACTGCATTTATACAATTATATATTATATAATTAATAATCTTTGAATTATTTTCACCGTCTTCTTCTTTCTTCTTCTTCTACCCAAATGCAACAATTTTCCATCACATTATTTGATCATCCTGCAGATGACTGAGTTTTCAAATTTGTGTTTTTCTCGTTAATGGCTGTTGATGGTCAGCAGCAGCACATGACTTTACATATATACCTGTATATGTTCAAATTATTATACCGCGGTATAATCACGCACACACTTTGCTCATGTTTTTTTTTCTGCAAAAGAAAAAAAGGAAGAAAGTAGTAGTAGAGCGAAGTAATGTTTAAACAAAAAAATGGTTGACCCACAGCTTTGGAGATGGCTGCTGCTGCTTGTTCGCGGCGGCGGATTTCCAGTTGTCGTCAGTTGCCCAGTGACCGGGTCAAAAGCGAGATGGCATACTACTTATTTATTTATATACATATCTGTCGGGTGTGCATGGCACTTATGACATATATTATCACAGTATATATATATATATATATACTTTCGAGGCACGAGACCCTATTCTGTCCTATATATATATATATATTGCGAATAAATAACAACCGTTTCCCATATACGACCATATACTTGATTCGCTGCTGCTGCTGCTGCTGTTGGATTCCTCAGCATCGATATCGCTTTATAAATATTCACGCATTTATTCACCTCGTTTTACCTTATTTACAGGCAGCAGCAGTACGATGCCCGAGACGCAGTCAGGGGCATTCGGGGAAGGGGCTACGAGATCCTGAAACGGGCTGCCCGAGACCTGTTCCACACCGTTTCCGAGGAACGGGCCAAGAGTCAGGCATCGTGGTCTCAGCTCTACAAGTCTGCATATCCAGGTATAGTACATACTGTTGTACATACATACATACATACTTGTACGAGTTTCTTTTTCTTTCTAAAGTTTTCTTATGTATATATATATATATAGGTTACAAATTTAGGCGGTAATCCTTTATAGCGTATATCTCTCATGATCGACCACATAGCATGCATGCATCCATTTTTCTTTTAAAACCGAAATTTGGAAATGCTGCGGATGAAAGGTTGTTCACGACGGTACAGTATATACCAGCATGCAGCAGCAGGAATATGAAAAAAATAAGAGGGGTTCAAAGAAAAAGAATTTTCGTAGTGTGCATTCGCAACAAATTATAACCTTATTCGATGAGTGTGCTGCTGTAATAAATCATTGCGGGGAATAGTAATTCGACAGATCAAAAATATATATCAGGGAATAAACTTTATTCTTCATATTTGAGCACCTGCTGATGCTTATAATTGTCATCAGAGAATTCCTCCATCACCAAAAAAATGCACCTTCTTTCGAATACCATCATTTGAAAATGACAACTTGCATTATTTTTACGGAACTTGTTGAGAAACTCCTCAATCACATTATTGGATTCATAGGAATACTAATGAGCGACAATAAAAGCGAGGGACAGCAGCAGTGATGTTGATTGAGTACGAATAATAAATTATGCTACAGCAGTGCATATAGTCCATCTTCATTTAAATGTAATATGGGTGTGTACTGATGAATACAGCTGCTGTATACCACAAACGATCATCATTACCATCATCGCCTATTATCATTTTCCGTCGGTGCAGAAATCGAAGGCAGAGCCCTGAACCCGTTGGGCAGCGTGGGCATGAACCTGGCCTTCGGACTGGGCACTCTGGTCCTCGGCCTGGCCGGCATGTCCTTTGGCGGCAGCACAGTGGCCCGGAGTCTCAAGACGGCCTACGACGGCATCGAGTGGAGGTCGGGCCTGGTGGCCATGACCAGGTATATACATATATACTGTACAGTACAGTAGTATTATTGAAATACCTAATTTTTTACATTTTTTAATAAAATGATTAAATTTATTATATATAGGGACGACTTCCTGGAGAGGACCTTTGACTGGATGGACGTCAAGGACGCCACGTGCAAGCAAAGGATGATCTGCGAGGTGGAGCAGTACGCAGCTGACCAGTCCACGTTCAAGACTCTCATCCTCAAGTTCCTCAGGTACGTACAACATGCAGTATTGTATACATTATATACTGCAGTACAGTACACGATGACTGTATATAGCCCAGCATAGCTATATACAGAACTCTAAATCTGAATTAGAAAAGAGGGAGTATATGAAAACTACCTTCTCTTTTGAATTTCAAAAAAAAAAGAGGAATAGTATAAATACTCAGCAGATGCTGGAAATTAATTATTCCGAAGGTGTCCAAGGTTTTTTTTTTCTCTTTCAATCTACTACCACTCTTGAGTCTTGACGCTTTGAAATTGCATCCTGCGGCAGAGCCAGGATATGTTTGCACACTCGTGCATTTTGCTTGACCCAAGGCCACCAGAATGCAACTTTGGCAGAATAGGCAAAAGTCGGAAAAAAACCAGAAAAAGGGAAAGCCATTGTTATCAAGATCCCAGAATGCTGCTAATCCTTTTATAGGAATGCAGAAAAATGTCCACCCCCCCCCCAACAGTAAAATTTGTTTAATGAAGAACTAATCTTTTAATCATTCTGGTCTCCTCATTTTTTTTAAATTCTGTGTTTGGGGGATATATCCCTGCACTGCGGCCCAAGTTTTAAATTGTCAAGGGTTATATGAAATTTCCAAATTGGAAAGGATTTGAAGTGCTGGAGCCATTACAGTATACACGGCTTGCCGGCAATGATAGCCAGAAAGTTCTCTTTACAGAACTTATATTGATATATACAGATGGTATATTACGTACGTTTAGAGAAATGAAGAACAACATTCCCTGTTGATGGTTTTAGTGAGACTGACTATATTTCTCAACATGCATATCCAGACTAAAATTGCACCGAAGCAACTAATACTGCTGTGTATCCATATGGCTGTGTATGCATATGGATGGATAAAAAATCCCAAGCAAAAATAAAATTAAATAAGCATAGTTTTCCTTCTGCAATAATGCTCAGGCATATATATCACATTAAATTTGCAACAGCTGTGCAATAAAATAAAGTGGGAATACATTTTGAAGCCCATAAAAAAAAGACAACTCAATTAGGTAAAAATCCATGCCCTGCTGGATATCCAGATTTAACAAATTATTAAACTCAGTCAAAGCCATATATAAATACAGTCAACCCCTGTCTAACGGACTTGATTTGTGCAAGGGGCAAGTCTGTTAGACGAAAAGTCCTTTCCATGAATTCAATTACATAAAAAATTAAAAATTTCAATTTTCAACACTAATTTTAAACCAAAAGAAGTCTGTTTGGCGGATTTTGTCTGTTGGGCGGGAGGAAAAACTGCTTGCAGAGCTGGTCTGTTAGGCGAAAATCCCTTACACGGGAGGTCTGTTAGGCGGGGGCCACTGTACTGTGAAAAAAATTAAAATGCAAATAACAAACGTTTACTCTGAATATCAAGTAAATACTAGCATTTTTTGTGAGCAATTCTTGCAAAGATTTGTAATGGTGGCTGTTCCAAAATAGCTCACAGTTGTTAAGCATGGGTAGGGGTTTTCAAGCATGAAAAGCCCCATTTTAACATGTAATTTTCTGGTTTAATTTTATATCAAGCCACCTTCCTATAGCCCAGGAACAATATTTGAAAGAAAGGCTGCTCAGGTGAATTATGAAGAATTTTTGTCCTCTATTCCACCTTCCATTCATGTCCCAAGAACTGGTCACAGTCACATTTTGAATGGGGAATTCGAGACTGTGCCTGCCTTCACTGGAGATTTTTTCATTAAGAAAATTAGATGTTCCTCATAAAAAATTTTCTATGCTGGAATTGGAGAGATTTTTGTAACAAGATTCTTATGGAATGTACACTACGTACATGCCCTACAACAGGACTTTTGCTGGAACTTGAAAAAAAAACAATTTTTACAGTAAAAAATTTACTGTAACAAGATTCTGCTCTGCTGTATAATATTCAAATAATTCAGGATAATCAATTGAAGGATCAGCCAAATTTTAAAGAATTTAGTGTAGGGGAACCTCTTAAAGGTTCCCTCAAAGACCACTGAAGGTCAATTATTCTGGTTAACCTCACAACCTTCTGGAATGAGATGCAGTTAGCTTATTGTGAACCAAAAGAGAGCATAATAAACCTATAATCTGCAACTGTTGGTAGCAGTGGGATGAGATGCTGTTAGCTTACTCTGAACCAAAAGAGAGCATAATAAACCTATAATCTGCATTACTAGAACTGCTTTTTGAACCAACTTAGTTCCTATTGTTTCCTCCATAAGTGGGAAATATTTCTTTCTGAACTGGAAAGATGATTTGTAGAAATGTGTGTCCCTTCAAAATTCTTACCATCTGAAAAACACTTTCAAACTATTCCAAGTTAAATGAAGATGTTAGCTATATGTATTCAGTCTCCAAGAATACTGTATTATACTCATGGGCAAAATTCATGGTTATATCTGTATATACAGGCAAGCTCGGAATCCTGACCAAAAATTGCAGTCTTCAGCTTTAATGGGTAACATGGAAAGGATGAATAATTCATGTCTGATGAAAGGGATAAGGTTGAAAAAAAAAATTATGGTCTCTCACACAAAGTTTATGAATGTTGCATGCAGACAATGTAAGCAACAAGTTGCCACTCCCACCAAACATGCCATGTACCTCTTGTCCAAACATAGCATTAGCATCTGGATTCCATTTAATGTGCTTGGTCAATACAATGCCAGAGAATGCAAATGTTCCTGAACTGGTGCTGGAGTCAAAGACAAACCTGGTTGCCCTGGAATTTAACCCAAAAGACTGTAATATCCTGGCTGGGGGCATGGACAAGGGCCAGGTGTGCTGGTGGGACATAAGAAGAGGACCTGTGCCAGTGGAAACCACTCCTGTACACGTGTCTCATACTGAGCCTGTCTATTCTCTCACTTGGATCAACTCAAAGCAGGGCACTGAGTGGTTCACTGCTGCCAATGATGGAAAAGTGAGTTGAAATTTTAGCTCAACAGCTTTCATAACACAGATTGGGACTGGCTGAATAACCAGAATACCCCTCCCTCCTCTCTGTCTCTCTCCCCTCTCTCTATATATATTGGCAAATTACCAATAAATAACTTGAGGGCTTTTGTTCAAATATGGACTCAAACTATTTTCAGGTAATTTTTTAATGCATCATGTTTGCTTGTATCATCATATAGGCTAGCATTTCTTCTTCAGATTTTTATTGCAAGTTAAGATCAGATCAGCTGTTCTATCTTTATTCAAGTTCACTGTTTTTTATTTCAGGCAATTTGAAGGAAACATTGTGACATTATATTGAAAATATGTTTCCCTTTTTGAATGCCAAATTTGATACACAGCATCATCAGAACTCCCAATAACTGACCTTTGTAAATTTATTTCCAGAAGATTAGATTCCATCAAACACATATTTTCAGAGATACAGTATTTATGTGTTATATGATCAATGAAAAAGGACATCAAAAAGTGACTAAACGAGGGGGCTCTGAAATGCGGACATCCTAAAATGTGGCCAATATGACTTTGGGACACTTGAAACTCAAAAAGTCTGCCCCATAATCAAAGAACATTTTCTCAAGATGTGGACCCTTCATTTACATTTCTAGACAAATGGAATTTTTTCATTTACAGTATCTTCACAACAAGTTGAGCTCTTTATATTCACAAAAACAAATTATTTTTTCATATTTATATCAGGAAAAAGTGTACAGTATTACAAATTTTACTGTGGTTTCTAATCCATAAAGGGTAATTCTTTGCTTTTCTTTAGAGTTCTTTCCAACATCAAGGAACAGCATAGACTTGTGCTTGCTTTTTCCTTTTTGTGGCCTTATATATTTGTGTCAAAAGGTCAGATTTTCCTAAAACTTTCCTCTACACATTTATTTTCTGTATCTTGGAGTGAAGCAAATTTATTTCAATCAAGTTTTAGAAGACTTTTCCCAATTTTTAATCAACCAATCCAATATATTCCCACATTGAAATCAACTGGAAAAACGTGATCCAGCATGGGGACAAGGTCCAAAGCACTAATTATGTCCACATCTCGGGGCCCCACTGCATTTCAATGCTCTACGGCCCAAGGTATATGAAGACAAACAGTGCTTTTCTGTGAATGTCATAATTTCTGCTATCTTCAGCATCAGTCCAGCACGAAATAAAGAGCTCACCGCATTTCTTGGACAAAGACGCCAATTAAACCCTAACTGTTAATTATTTGCGGAAAGCTCCAACATAAATTTTCGGACGCCCAGCAAGTACTCGCATTCATTATACAGTAGCTCAGTCCCGTAGAGGTATAATACTGAATAATAGGGCAGCGCTAAAAAAAAAAATCATAAAACGGGGGGAAAACGGAAGTTTGAAGGACTTGAATATTGCTGGTGTAACTGGTTTGACTCAGCTGCGAGGATAATGCCCTGAATGTTACTTGCGAATCGCGTGCCAGTGAATCATGAAAACCCCAAAAGCTGTGCCCATCATCTATATGGTCCTTGAGCATGAAAACCACTGTATTAATTTTTACCCCAGCAGTAAAGATTATTTCCTATAGATTTAATACATAGCTTTTGACATGCTAAAGGGCTGTTCATCATGCAGAGATGTAAGACTCATTTTTTTGTGGGGAATTTTCTGCCATGCCTTTTGAGTTTTGACATCTCATAAAAATTGAGATATCCTTCTTTGACCTCAATAGAAAAGTTAAAAGATAAGCAATTGATGATGGAGACTTGAACTGTGGCATTCTTAAGCAAATACTGACAAAGATTGAATTGTATATAGGGTCTTGTGGAAATTATTTCTACAGTGAGAACCAAAGGTCTGGATGTAATTGTTGCATGGACCTTGTCCTTAAGTTGGAATGTCAACATTTTGCAGCTTTTTTTCCATATACTTCAATGGAAATATTTTTAGTTGGTTCTCCTGTATACAGATCAATAATTGAAAATCATTTTTCCCAAAACTGTAATGAATTTTTTCAACTTCAAGATGCAGAAAATGAATGTACAGAAGAAAACCACACAGAATCTGATCTTTTGGAATTAGAGGTAGCACAAGAAGCTAAAAACAGGAGCAAGTCTTGGTGTACTGAGCACAGATGAAGGAAAAATCTGATAAATAAGCATAAAATGAGCCTGTTTTTCATTATGAATTATGATAATTTCTTTTTTAATTTTCATTTGTAAATGTATGAATAAAAATATCTTTATAAGAACTACAAAAATTTAAAAAATTTAAAATTGTTAAATGTTTTTAGAAATATTGAAAAAATTTCTATGGCTGGATTGACTGCCCAGATGTCATTGGCAGATGATTTTTCAGGTCCAAGTGTCCCTGAGTCAAATTGTCTGTATGGTGAAGTTTCAGTATTTTGGGGTCTCATTGTATTTGTAACCATTGCCAATTTGACCTTATGTGTGTATAAGTATATTGCACTCTACTGAATCTGCAACAGGGTTGTTGATTGCAATCGCTAATTTAATTGCCCAATCACAATTTCAGTCTGCAAAGAAAATTTTTCCCCAATCACAATTGCAATTGCAAGGCACTAATGTTTTAGATCCCCATTCACAATCAAAATGATTTATTTGTATTATTGCCCAATTGCAATCGCAAAGGTGATCACAACTCTTTTCAGGATTTACATACTCAAAGAAGACCATACATTTATCTACCAATATTCCTATAAAAGTGATATGCATGCAAATTATGGGTGAATTTCAATTACAGGCCTTGTGGTGGGATTCCAGGAAGCTGAGTGAGCCCACGGATGTGATGTTATTTGACATAAGAGGGACAAAGGCTGCTGCCCAAATTGAAAACCTGACTTGTAGGGGTCCTCTGGGTGCCAGTTGCTTGGAATATGAACACACCATTCCTACCAGATTCATGGTTGGCACTGAACAAGGCAAGTTACTCCATGACTTTTAATTTATCAAGCAAATATTATACTCAGAGATCACATCCCAAGCTTTGCTTCATGACTTGCTTTGGAATTCGTTCAGGTAACAAAAAATGTATGCAAGCAGGAACAGAAGAATAAAGTATAATGAAACGGAAGAAAGCATTTTGCAGTAGGAAAAATGCCTATACAATTGACTAATTCTTTTTTCCTATAAATGCTCATGTGTTGCATTTTATTGAGGTCATCTTTGTATGCATAAAAAACTTAAGGCTTTCCCCTTGTCTCTGGAAATTTTGGGAAATGATATTCAACAAAATTTTATTATAAAGGAACACAGAAAATCTACTTTTTCTGCCAATAATTTGCATCTAAGTGGAACCTTGAAAATAGATTCCTAATTTTCAAATATTTTATTCATATATGCATTAGAACTTTAGAAGATGATAATGAAAAATATCAACAGATCAAACAAATCATACATGACAATCAGAACTTCAGCAGAGATATGCCTCATATTACACTCTAATACATTGCAGATGAATCATAAAATATACTCAATCAATGCCATGTGTGATTTGAGAACTGAAATCGATTTATTCAGGTGTGCAAATAAAGCTAAGACGCATATAGTACTTCAATTTACTCAATTATAGGTAAAGTGGCACTATGTACCAGGAAAGCAAAGAATCCAGCTGAGAGGATCTTGAATGTGTATGGTGCTCATGCTGGGCCAGTGTATGCTGTACAGAGGAACCCTAGCGCACTGAAGAATTTCTTGACCATTGGAGACTGGTCTGCCAAAATTTGGGCAGAAGATGTCAGAGACTCTGCCATTATCTCCACAAAGTATGTTCATATCTTCTTACTTTTGTTTACTGCAACCCAGACTTGAGCTGCTGGTCTCTATAAAGGCCCATTGTTGCATCTACCAGTACTGTATATGCATTCTTTATAGGTATACAGTATGTCATAGTTCTCAGCATGGAGTTTTAACATTAATTCAATGCCTACTAAAGGCAATACATTTCCCATGTGCTTGAGATGAGAATTATCATCATCAGAATAAAACTCATTATCTATTATTGAATGATGGTATAGATCTTCTAAAATGATATCTGAAAAACTTAACTGATGTAAACAAAAAATCTGCAAGTCTTCCTTCATTTGAATAGAAACATAAAATTTAAAATAGGATTTCACCATGATTTTCCTCATAGCTAGCCAGCATAAATACAGAGTTAATGAATTGAAAACTCAATTTTTTTCATATTTGGAAATTCATATGCATCTCATGTAGTTGGATAAACTTCTGAGTTCTGACAAATAAATTCTCTGAATGTTCAGACATAAGAATTTTCACACAGTAAAGGGCTCATTTCCTTGCAGATCTGGAGGAGTTGCAGTATTTTCTCAGTGCTCTTGTCAGTCATTTTGATGTCTGAAATGGTTCCCTGTTCAATTCTTGCAAGGTGTCATTTATTGTTCATTACCTCAGGTATAGGTTTTGATAATGCAGATTCACTTTAGTCCCCTAAATTTTCCAGGTTCCTAGTTTCATTCTAGAGGAGAGGGATAGGGATTTTTCATGAGTTGAAATTGTTCTTAGGTCAATGAAAAATCAGGTCATTTTCTCTCTGGCCCTGAAAAAAATAATATATGTCATTTTGATATGGCTCATAGGGGAACATCCAGTTGAGATCAAAATTTTGTGCATAAATTTAAAAATAATTCTCATGTCCACATATTACAGTATTGTATGGATATTCATGATGAAAAAAATATTCTGATGTGCAGGGACACAGTAAGAAAATATGGGATATTGAATCAATGCTTGCTAGTAGATTGAAGTAACATGTTCTTCTACTGCTTGTGTGTGTGTGTGTTTGGTTCTGAATGTATGTATGTATGCATGCATGTATGTATGTATGTGTGTGTGTAATCAATTATATTGGCTGCAAGTCTCCGGTTATATAGCAGAATTTGTTCTGCATTTGATCTCATTTTTATTTGTTGGGTTTGCTCGTCGGAAATGCAGGGCACAACCTGCTCGCTTGATCGATGGCTGCTGGAACCCGACACGGCCATGCACTTTCTACACTGCAAACCTCAACGGAGTCCTGGACGCATGGGACATCTTGGCCTATCACTCAAAGCCGATTTTCAGCTTGCAGGTGACATTTTTCTTCTTTTTTCTTGAATGTAAGTCCTTCTCAGCAGTCACGTTTTCTTCTTCCAAAAAAAAAAACTTCGAGAGAGAGAGAGAGAGCAATAAGAGTAAACAAAAAAATGAAATACTTTACTGTACTAGGCAAAAGTTTAGATTGGTCAGAGTTTACGTTGCAGGAACAAACATGATCAACATGCAGGAGAAAAATCTGATTTTTTCATCAGAAAACACGTTCAGGTGAAAACTATCTCTCTCTCACATCTGCAGCAAAGCTCACAGGACAATAAAAAAAATTGTTATGGCAGAGAGCATTTCAATGTATATATAGAGAACCCCTACAACATGGGAGATAATTTCACATATCCTGCGCGACCAAAAAAATTGTTGTCAAGAGAAAATCGTTGTATATTGACCAAATTGTTGTAGAGATGTATATAGACAGAGACCACCTGTAGATACATTGAGGCCCCAAAATACTTTATGGACATCGCAACATATACAGCCAATGCGACTTAGGGACACTTACACCTCTGCCCCTGACATATGGACAGTGACTCAAGATACAGACACTTTTTTAAGATTCCTGGAATATTTTATAAATTTTTCTCAATTTTTTTATATGTAGAAGAAATTGAGGTATTGACATTTGTTGGAGACAACAGCCACCACAACATGAGGATGAAAATACTGGCTGTGGATCAAGAAAATTGGAAATATAAACACGGAATCAGCCAGGGACAAGGCTGGGGATTCTCAGGAGATTCCCTACTTTAACATTTGATTTTCGTATTTCAGATGATTGTCCCAACAACAGCAAAGATTTGAACAAGTCACAAAATATATTAATGAGCAAAAAACCTCTCAGCAAGCTCAAAACAGTAAACGACTGTTCAACACGCCACAGCTAGGCTCAGACTCATGATGAAATTGGGAATAAAAGGGATTTTTTATTAATTATTGTTACTGGCCTTGATCCGGCACTCTGGCCAGAGATCAGGTAATTTGTTAAGGCTTGGGATTGGCCAGGAAAATCTGAGTCAAGGACAACTCTGGGGACAGAAAGCCTTGGAAGATGGTTCTGGAATTTTACCAGTCTTTCTGGTGTTCTAGATTGGACCATTTTCTGAGTTTGTCCTTGAGTGACTTTTCTATCCAATTTACTCATGCCTCAATTGATGAGGCCCTCATCACACTGGCGGCGGCGGGTCCCCAACAACATTTACAAATGCTAGAAATAAATTTCTGTAGAGCATTACCCTAATTCACAATCAAAAACCTGGTTATTCTGTTCTTCCTTTTCTAGTTTTATTTATTTATTTTTTTGCTCTATCCAGAAAATCTCTTGTTTGTTGCTTTTTTTTCCTTCTTGATGCCAAATGAAGATCAGATTCTGTCTGATTGTCTTCTGTATGTTTATTTATTTTTTCTTGAAGTTCAGCACAAGTATTCTATTCCTTTTTTGTGATTTTTCAAAACTGCTCAACTGCAGGAAAATCTTTGGGGAAATGAGCTTGGACATGCAGATGCTCCAACTTAGGGACAAGGTCCATGCATGACTTATGTCCACATCTCTGGGTCCCACTGTGAAAAGATTGATCATGATGGAAATAAGAAAAATCTTTTCTTAGATTAGAATCCATACAGGCCTGATAAAGGAATAAGTTAGAGAACCTTCTGAAAGGAAAAAAACTACTTTATTTGTATAAAAAGATTCAAAACACAAATTATTGGGCATTTTAAAAATCTCCCTAACACACTTGCTCGACAGAAGAAAATAATTGTGAATGCACTCTTTCATACAATTTTGAATGCACTCTTTCATACAATTTTGAATGCACTCTTTCATACAATTTTGAATGCACTCCTTCATCCAGATTAATGTATGATGTATACATCATGTATTATGATAATGATCACATGATTTTCACACTGCTACAATAAGTGAAGATTAAAAGCAATGCCTAATTTCAACATCAAGATCCAATCCGTCAGAAGCAAGATGGGTCAGGCAATTAAAAAGTAAGACAAAACTAAATATTTTCTTTCCATGTACAGTACTTGTCAAGTGAGATAAAAACTGGAAAGCAGAAGTTTTTTAAGGCATGTCTTTGGGGTTATTCTCTGAGATTTTTTCTGTTGATTGCGTTGGATTTGTCTTGGAGAGATGAGGAAGAATGCAGATAATGATCAGAAATATTATTGTCATACACATTCAACCAATTCAAGGAAAATTTGCGCGAGGCTTTTGATCAGCAAAAAGGTTATTAAAGGCTTCTTTTATTCCTGCAGTTTGTCCACTCCAACAGTAATTATGGGCAATAGATCTGAATTAGTCAAAACATGCATTGAAACAGAAATGGGAATGAGGAAAACCTATTTTTTGACTTTTATTCAATGCTCTATTGAAAATTTTCACTGTAAAACTGTGATTGAGGGAACTATTTGATATCTTGGATATTCAACAGTTGTCTTCATTAAGGTTTAGTCATCACCATCACTAGTAAGTTAAATTCAGTTCATTGCTTGCAAAAAATTAGAAAACTGCAACTGAATATTTATCTATACATGTCATTCAAATCCTACAAACCTTTCAAAACATAAATTTTTTAACACCTGATTTTGAACTAGATGACCGGAAATGAGCTTAAAATATTGATATTGAATGCTTAAAAGTATCCATATTTATGAGTCAAACTACAATGATGCCAGCTGGAAAAATCGCCTAAATTTTTGACATGATTATTTATTTCATAAGTATGTCCATCAGCTGGAAGCTAATGAAATTCAAAATGTTTCCAGTTTAATTTCAACATTTGTCTAGAAGAGTTTTCAGAGCAGTTAGAAACATGATTGAAATTCATAAAAACCATGTGTCTCCAGGATAAAAGATTAAAAGAGCTTGATACACATCTCCCTTGCTCTGGGTCAGGAAAAATGTCAACAGGTCCAAAGCCTTTTTGATCCACATGATCCCAGCTTTTGCTTATTTCTCATTCAAAACCATTGATCAAACTGGATTATGAACAGCTTTTTGAACACACCTGACCATTCACGTCATGATAAGGAACAGCAGTGAAATGAACAACTGTCTCTTTAAAAAAAAAAGGTAGGACATAATTCATGCTGAGCTGGTATGAAAATCCATGGGTTTTTTAGTTTGAAAAATAATCCTTTTTCTGCAAAAATTTCCAGAGACTTTAGGGTTTTTTATTGATTTAAGAAAGACTTGATAAATATTCTCATATTTTACGTACTGCCCTTCAAAGTAATATTTATACATTTTAATATGATGCATTCCCAGGTTTGTGATGAGGGACTTCAGTGCATCAGAGTTGAGGAATCTGGTCATTTGCTGGCAGCTGGTTCTGTGGAGGGAAATACTTACCTTATACAAGTGTCAGAGTCTCTCAATAGGATGTCCAAGAATGAGAGAACATTGATGACTGCTGTGAGTAATCCTATTTTAGTGCATATTTTTTCTGAATGAGACTTTCCTATGCATGGTATGTGTTTTGGGATCCACAGCTTTTGGAGAGAGAGGCCCATAGAGAGAAACTGTTGGAGCAAAGAGTCAAAGAGCAAAGGGTCAGAGAAAGGAGCAGTGGTAGGGTTGCCAATAACACACCTGGAACACCTGGACCAAATCATGAAGAAAGATTCCTCATGCCCATGGATCATGAAGCCATGGAGAAAGCGAAAAAGGACTATCTGTCTGCTGTTAAAGCAGTAAGTAGACTAAGTTACAGTATATACAGGCTGGTACCCCACAATTCAACCCTAATCCATTGCTAGACTATTTTCAAATTGTGAAGTGTTCATGTTGTATAAGACAAGATCAAATGCAATTTGATCAATGCAATTTTTATTTTTTTCTACATCATATTTGAAATTTTGTTTCTCTCTGTGGATCAAATTCTGAGTCAACCTCTCAGGACGTTTGACAGTCAAATTGCAGGGTGCTCAAATTGCAAGGTACCACCTGTACCAACATATGCCAAAATGAAAAATTCAATATTTTTTAATAAACTGGAGACATTTTTGAATTGTATAGTTTCTTATAATTAAATTTAGTAATAGAAAATCACAAGACACTAAAACGTTAAATATTCCCACCCTGCTCTTAATATAAATTTTTTTCAATGTAATGGCGCTTTAAGATAATTGTTTCTGCAACAAAAGTGAATGAATACAATATTGTAGTCAGAATTCAGTGCATTTCTAAATTCAGCTTTCTTTCAATGTATAATTTTCTAAAGTCCTCTCCAGTACATATTCAGTAGAAGATTATTGAGAAATTTTTAATTTGCTGGCCATTAGTTCAAAAGGAAAATTTTGTGACTTTTTTTGTGCTCCAAGGTATTTGTAAAATTGAATGATGAATTATTTTATTCCAAAGTACAGCACTCCAGAATTCCAGCACTATATCTTAGTGAAGATGGGATTTTTGAATGGATATTATTCAAGGAAATGGATGCACTGCAAAGCATTGAGAAGGAAAAAGGTCCATGTGGTACCTTGCAATTTGACCTCTTGCAATCAATCATCCAGCAATTCAATGGTCAAATTCATGGGATAGGACATATCAAAATTTGACCTCTGCCACACAGTTTTATCTGCAGAGAGACATGAAATCTCAAATGACCTGTAGAAAAAATGCCATTTGACATTCTCTTGAAATTTGACCCCATAGTCCAGCAATGGATCAAGGTAAAATTGCAAGATACCAGGTGTACCTTAGTATGATACAATAGTATAAAAAGTTTTTATTCAAATATGGAATGATTCAGGAAATTCCTGGAATGCATAATTTTTTTCTCTTAGCAAGTAACACTTGACCCAAAAATAATGTCAGGTAATGATACATTTCATTTTTTCAGGAACTGGAACAAAGAACACTGACTGAGGAACAGGCACTAGCAGAGATTGCTCTCTTAGAAAGTGATTCAAGGATGCCTCAAACAGATGATGAAAAGATTTTGCTGGAAGCTACAACCATCAACCTACCCCCAGGGGCTCATGAGTTGATGGAGATCAGGAGAGAAGCTGAGGCTATCCTGAGAGCAAGGGGTATCAGCAGAGGGTTCAGCACTGTTGCCAGTTCACTCTGTGCACCTGCCATTCCTGACACAGATGATGAAGATGATGGAGAGCCTATTGATCCAAATAATTTGATCACCAGCAGGCAGGAGTTGATTGATAGGAGGAATGCTGCTGATAAGGACTCTGATAATGATGATCCTGGATTGATTGATCGTTGAATGTGCAATTTAAAATTTGTTCAGATTTCTGTCAGGGATATCACAAAGTGTGAATTCAATTGTTTATTTGAATCTCTGATATGTAAGAGCTATATCCTTTTCCAACCAAGATGATTTTAAAGAATGTCATCCAAAAGCTGTTCTGCCAAAAGCCCCCATTTGTGCAAAACCTCAGGGAATACAGATATTCTTGCAACTATTTATGGTTATGTGCAACTTTCACCAGCAGCCCTAGCAGAAGGCCAGATGACAGTATTCTTAAAACTGTTCACGGTAAGCTGCACCTGTCACCAGCAGGCCAGCACAAGGCTAAGTAAGAATTTTCCTGTTAAGTTGAGTATATAAAGGGATTCTTCACCTGCAGCGGTCATTACATTAATTATCTTTGAATTTCAAAGCATTATCACTTGCTGAGTTTTGAAAAATCCCATCTACAGTTCACGGTGCTGATCCAATGGCTGGTGCACTTCAGATCATCAAAAATCATTAAGCTGGTCAGAATAGGTACCACAATGGTTATATATTAATGGTTGTCTTTTGGCCAGAAACCTTTCTGATGAGGGCTTTTGACCTGGTACCCAACCAAAAGCTCCCTGCCAAAAGCTCCCCCTAGGTCAAAGGCCTCCTGCCGAAAGCCCCCCCCCCCCCCATTTTTTTTAAATGAAAGTTTCATAACAGTGTTGGGTGGCCCTGGGAAGGGCTGCTTGGTTTCATTAGTCCTCAAAATGGCTGTTGAATAATCATCTTCAAATTTTCCTTCTGCAGCCTCTTCCTCAGTGTCACTGATGCTCTCAATTTCATTTTCTTCTCAACATGGCCCTCTTACCACATCTCCTTTTTAATTGGCACATTTCCAGCACCAAGTACTGGAATTTGTGCTCTTAACCATGAAAAAATAGCCATTGTAGTACATCTTTTCACCACCCTTCTGATTTTTGATGATCTGAAGTGCACCAGCCATTGGATCAACAAGGTGAACTGTAGATTTTTCAGAAGTCAGCAAGTGATGCTTTGACATTCAAAGAATCACTGATGACCACTGCACGTGAGGAATCCCTTCATATACTGTACTCAATTTACAAACATATTGGTACTTGGCCTTATGCTGGGCCTGCTGGTGAAAGGTGCAGCTTACCATCAAGAGTTGCAAGGAGACCTGTTATATCCCCAATTTTTGCACCAAGGGGAGACTTTTGACCTAGGCGGGGCTCTTTTGGCAGGGGGGCTTTCCGGGGGGCTTTTGACCTAGGGGGGCTTTTGGACTACACTTTTTTGACCTAGGGAGGACTTTTGGCAGGGGGGGGGGGNACTGTGGCCCAGGTGATGCTCTTCTGTTTCGAATAATGAGGTCCAACATGGACACTGCAGAGTTATTGGGCATCACTGTTTTATTGGCATTAAAATATTGAAGCTTGTGAGTTGTGACTGATCAGAAATTATTCCTTCTCCTTTTGCCAGACAAGAATAAACCAAAGCAAGAGAAGAGAGAATTCAGTGGAATGGAGAAGTTGGAGAAGCTGGCCAATATCAACTCCAAAAGCAGTCAAGAAACTTGTGGACCACAAGATGGACGTCGAAAGGGTCGCCAACTGCTTCCAGGCCTGTTTTTTGATGAAACCTCTGATCACCCTTTCATCATCCTGCTTCAGTATGTGGTGCCCCTCATTTCCATCGATTTGCCAGTGTTGCTTCCGCCAAACTTGAGGAATTTGGACCGCAGCAAACCATCCCTCACAGGAGCTTTTGGTGCCATTCCTTGATTTGAAGTGTTTGTCCTTATTTTTTTTTATATTTTATTGTTGTTTATTTGAATTAAATTTTGGCTATATTTTGAGAACCAAGCACAATTTTCGTCTTTCCTGAAGAAAATATTGCCATTTCAAGTTGTTTTGAGTGGCACTTGTGATGAGTTTAGGAAAGACTTTTTGACTGGCCTGAGACTGCTTTTCTTGGGTGAGAGCAACTGGAAATTTATTTTTGCAGGAATGTTTGTTGAATAAATTGAACATAATTTCTCCAATAGTTTCAATCATTAAAAATATTTTTTAGGAGTGTTAGCATTTTTGAATGTAATTTTGCAAGGGCAGCCTTTTGACAATCATAACAATGAGCTGTGATGATGTTTTTTATTAGTAAAGGGATCTAAAATTTGCATCAATATAGGGGTTCTCCTGGAATGGATATTGAAATGATCACAGTGTGCAAGGAAAAAAATGGCTGAAAATTGATGCTGTTTTATCTAATTTCAGATATGATTGTCCAACTTTATGAAGTGATTTTGTGTCTTTGGTGGAGTAATTTGAGTTTTGGTGCAGTGGTGCCAACCAGTGCTGGCCCTACATCCCAGGAGGCATCCAGGTTCAATTTATTCTCTGATGGACCACCTCAGATCCCCAGCAGTGGGCTCAGCTACTTACCAACACCTCAGTTGTTCTTCAATAATAAAGATAAGATTCCTTTTGGTGCCAGTAATCCCAGGATAATATCTGGCAATTCATTGTACCCAAGAAGACTGCCTCTGGCCAATCAGTTCATCAGGCCATACCCTGCATTGCCACAACCTTCTGCTTTGCTCCAAGATTCTGATGCTGTGGGTCATGTTGGAGGTGCTTTCACTTTCTTCACAAGTGTCAAGAATGACTTTGACAATGCTGATGCTGTGAGTGATGCATTGAATATACTTTGACCTATTGATGATAGAAAATAATCTTGATAACTTCCAGTCAAAGCAGTCCCAAGAATTACAGTAATTACATTCTTTTGAAAAGTTTCTACACATCTTTTGTTGGCCAGTTAAGATGCTAATGACCATTTCAGATTCCTGAACAACTATGAGCCATATAGATTAATTATCCCAGCATTTTGTTCAAGCTTTAGTTTAATGGCAAATATTTGCTTGATTAATTTTTTCAGAGAATGATTTATGTTCTAATGATTTTATATATTCAATTTTCATAAGGTCTTCTTTGTGACATGTGATGGAATCAATATTTGGAGTTTTCAGAGCATTTCTTCCTAATTATTGTGCAGGTGAATATCTGTAAATCTGACCTTGAGCGAGGTTTCAGGTGACAATAAGGTACAACTGTTCCGAATAAAAATAATTTTTATTTATACCTTGGGTGATCTTTGTCTGCATTATCTTGCTTTTCTTCAAACATCCATGATTTAATTCAACTTGGTACTTTCTGACAGCTTTTTTATTGTGAATTTTAAGCATTTATATGATATAAATCAAAATATTTTTGTTCCATTTTCTGGGTGCCAAGAAAAACATAAAAATCTGTAGATCATCATGATAATTACTTGCAGAATTTCAAATTGCCTTTTTAAACAAGTTCGACAGATTATCAAACTTAATGCAGTATTTCTAAAGCACCTTTAGATCCCATTTGCAACCCATTTACTGCTTCAAAAATGTGAATCTATTCAGTGCTACATTACTTTGAAGCACCAACTTAATTTTAGCAGCCACAAAATAGGATATTGGTCATGGGAATTTAAAATAGGTGTCACTCATGTCTTGATATTAAATCACAAACTTGCAATACAATTTTTTTTGCAAAATCTTCCCATGGGTGCCATTGATTTTCTAGTTACCTTTTTTGAAATAATATCTAAACATCATTCAACTTATCAATGTATTCTTGTAGAGTGCCTTACTTAGACCACCTTTACTACATCCAGAATGTTATGCTCTTCAGCTAAGTCACCTTGAAACACCACATTGATTTTAGCAGCGAGAAAACACGGTATTGGTCATGAATTTAAAGTAGGTGTCGCTCCTGTCCTGATACCACATGAGAAACTTGCATGACAGTCATTTTTGTAACGATTTGCTGGGCTGACAAAATGTTGTGGACTATATATACAGCAGTGATTCTGTGCATTTTCGCAGCTAGCATTTTTTTTTTTTTAATCTCTCTGTGAAAGGGTTACGCGGAAGTGCTTCGTCCTGGGTACCGGAAGTGGAGTCCGTTGACTGGGAAGTTCTCCCAGCACAGCAAGGACAAGACACAACCGGATGAGGCGTATTACGTACCTCTTTTCCCAGCAGCTGAGCGTCTGGCCCCGCCCAACGAATACACCATCGACGTGACCTTGGGACGTCCTGTGCCTTTCACTCTGTGCCACCGACTGACCATACGAGTGCCGCTCATGCCCATCTGGGCCCGCACCAGGTACCATTACCAAATCTGCGACCGTGGACCCGAAGGACTCCCGATCGCACTTCTCCCCGCAACCCGTTTGCGAGAATAGAGCAGAAAGAGGGAAAGAGAAGAGGAGGAGCAGGATAAGCAGATTATATTCAGAGTATTTTGCAGTATTTATTTATTTATTTTGTTATTCAACCAGCTTATTTCCTTCTTCCATTTATGAATTGCTCATATTACACCTCCTGCTTGTTTCAAGCTTTATGAGGATCCAAAATTTCAGACTTTGTTGCCACTCTTGATAAATTGTTTATGCTGGCAAAAATAATCCCCAATAACCCCTGTCCATGGACCTGGGGTTATTGGGGAACATTGGTCCCAATGAGCAAGTTCTGGATTACTTTTGGGGGCAAAAAACAAAAGTTTAAGATTACTTCTGATGTGAATTGGGCAAACTTTGGATTACTTTTGGAGGGTGAACAGAATAATTTTTGGACCACTTTTGAGAAAAAATGACAATATTTGGAAGCAGTTTGAAAGAGTGCTAGATCAATTTGTGAGGGAAATATAAAAAAAAAATTGTGAGTCTTTTTTGAAAATGAAGCTTGACATATTTTGGATAGAAGAGTACAACAATTTGGATAAGTCCTTGCTCACTGGGTATTCAGAGATCTGGTACACTTAAACTGGGTAGAAAACACTATGGGACCAAATTTCATTTGCTGAGAGTAATCATCACTTCTTATTTACTTTGGTGAGGGCAACATTCATTTATTGAGAAATTTTCATGCCCCCAGGATTCCTCATTACAGTAATTGCAAATGCAACTCAACACTGCATTTTCATGTTCAATTGAATGGTACAGTTCACCCCAACACAACCAATCTTCCACATGACAGATTT